CCTGGAAAAATCATGGAGCAGGTCCTCAAAGAATCATTCCTGAAGCACTTGCATGAGAGGAAAGTGATCAGGAACAGCCAGCATGGATTCACCAAGGGAAGGTCATGCCTGACTAATCTAATCGCCTTTTATGATGAGATTACTGGTTCTGTGGATGAAGGGAAAGCAGTGGATGTATTGTTTCTTGACTTTAGCAAAGCTTTTGACACGGTCTCCCACAGTATTCTTGTCAGCAAGTTAAGGAAGTATGGGCTGGAAGAATGCACTATAAGGTGGGTAGAAAGCTGGCTAGATTGTCGGGCTCAACGGGTAGTGATCAATGGCTCCATGTCTAGTTGGCAGCCGGTATCAAGTGGAGTGCCCCAAGGGTCGGTCCTGGGGCCGGTTTTGTTCAATATCTTTATAAATGATCTGGAGGATGGTGTGGATTGCACTCTCAGCAAATTTGCGGATGATACTAAACTGGGAGGAGTGGTAGATACGCTGGAGGGGAGGGATAGGATACAGAAGGACCTAGACAAATTGGAGGATTGGGCCAAAAGAAATCTGATGAGGTTCAATAAGGATAAGTGCAGGGTCCTGCACTTAGGACGGAAGAACCCAATGCACAGCTACAGACTAGGGACTGAATGGCTAGGCAGCAGTTCTGCGGAAAAGGACCTAGGGGTGACAGTGGACGAGAAGCTGGATATGAGTCAGCAGTGTGCCCTTGTTGCCAAGAAGGCCAATGGCATTTTGGGATGTATAAGTAGGGGCATAGCGAGCAGATCGAGGGACGTGATCGTTCCCCTCTATTCGACATTGGTGAGGCCTCATCTGGAGTACTGTGTCCAGTTTTGGGCCCCACACTACAAGAAGGATGTGGATAAATTGGAGAGAGTCCAGCGAAGGGCAACAAAAATGATTAGGGGTCTGGAACACATGAGTTATGAGGAGAGGCTGAGGGAGCTGGGATTGTTTAGCCTGCAGAAGAGAAGAATGAGGGGGGATTTGATAGCTGCTTTCAACTACCTGAAAGGGGGTTCCAAAGAGGATGGCTCTAGACTGTTCTCAGTGGTAGCAGATGACAGAACGAGGAGTAATGGTCTCAAGTTGCAGTGGGGGAGGTTTAGATTGGATATTAGGAAAAACTTTTTCACTAAGAGGGTGGTGAAACACTGGAATGCATTACCTAGGGAGGTGGTAGAATCTCCTTCCTTAGAGGTTTTTAAGGTCAGGCTTGACAAAGCCCTGGCTGGGATGATTTAACTGGGAATTGGTCCTGCTTCGAGCAGGGGGGTTGGACTAGATGACCTTCTGGGGTCCCTTCCAACCCTGATATTCTATGATTCTATGATTTGTATATTACTGGGTCAAAAGATGTTCGTTACATCTGTTTGGAATCCTGTAGTATGGGTAAAATAACAGGACAATTTTAATGGGGCTATTAATACAGTACATGTCTAGAGCATCTTGTGAGGCATGAGGCCAACAGATGGTTCAAAACAGCAGTGGCCAGGCCAACAGAGGCATGGCCAGACACTTTCAAGTTTTACTTTAAAATAAAAAGCTAAATTGGGAATGTTAAACAACTCCAGATTTATGTTGTAACACAAACTGAAATCTTGAAGCTGGCCAAATGGACCACAGATGATTGTTGGGGCCACGCAGAGTCCTTCATCCTTCCCTGGGTAGAAGGAACAACTGACACAAGTTACACATTCTAGGTGGTGCTCAAAATAGTATTAATGAATGTTGAAGGAAGGCAACCTGGACCATACCTAGCTATAGGAAAGGAAAGCAAAATGAGACTCTTATTCCATACCCTACATGTATATTATTTACATATAATAAACACCATGCTTCCTGTGAAAAGCTGTTGAATTCAGCAATCCAAGAGAAAGTGTGTGGAGAGGGTGGAAAATGGGCCATAGAAAGACCAACAGATTAAAAAGGATAGGTCACAGATGTACCATGAGGATCAGCGAGTAAGATCTTGTCAGGCAGTATTTGGTAAGAATTTCAAGGTCCATAATTTGCCTAAGGGGAAGGAGTTATAGGCAGGGAGCCCTGTGAGGCTGTATACCCAAATTCAGAGAGCTGCAGCTGGAACACGCTTATATCTGGCATAAAGCTGTTCCTCTTTTTGACTTTAACAAGCATTTTGGAATTCCATGTTTCTAACCCTATAGAATGTATCTGAGCATCGAAAATATGAGGTGGAAAATGTTTTCAGTACCTTTTCCCATGTCCCCTTCTATAGCAGGTGTTTTGTTTTCTACCATGTAAGTGCAATGTTGTGCTGTGACATTCATGCTGGTAACATAGGCGTTAAAATCAGGACAACACCAGTAAAATTATCTTTCCAGCACAGAGCATGTTGTTTGACTCTGTTCCAGACCACCATCCACCTGAGGGCCTGATCTGATGTCCACTGAAATCAACAGAAGTCTTTCTATTGGTGGGCATTGGTGGATAAGGGCCATAATTGAGCACAAACCATTAATGATGCTGGAGAACAGTGCATGAACTGAAAATCCAGCTATGGCATCATAAGCTTAGCCTGAATATGGGTGGAAATATGCCAACAAAAGTCAGCCTAAGCTGACAAACTAGACATTTTAAAACCATGGCTAAGGCTATTGTTTGCCTAGGATTCCACACCAACCCTGCTCATAGGAAGGAGCTCAAAAAACACATCTCTGGGCTCAGCAGCTCAGGATCCCATTATTAAGGATATGGAGATTTCAAATGGAACAGAAAGAACAAACAAACAGTGTTATAGGACAGCTATGAAGATCCAAATTTGTATTTTCAGAAAAACTTACGAGTGGCCATCACGCTCCCCAGAAATAAGAGAAGACTAAACGCATTAGTGTTGTAATGGAAATGGATATAAACGAACTTGAAAATCAAATTCAGGCCTAGATTATACAGCTTTTGGGGGCTTAACCAAAGAAAAGTGCCAGACTGGGTAGAATTTGTGCACAGGTTTGATAAAGAATGCTGTTTCAGTTCATTCTAGGACAGTGGCAAAGAAATGGGAGAGAGATTCAGAGATTTTAAGGCCACAGGGGGAAGTCATCTAATCTGACCTCCTGCACAACACAGAATGCAGAATTTCACCTCCTAGTTCCAGACAGACATATAGCTCTTAAGCATGATTATGAGACTTGCATACAATAAAAACATTTGTAAAAATCAAGATGGCATAACTAATTTGTTGCTGCAAAGTTATTTCTGCCAACACATACCCTGTATTTACTTTCTACAGAGTTAGATAAAACCATTTGCTTCCTCCCTGCACTCAACCAAATAGGAGACAAACTTTTAAGTCCTACTTGAGAATGACAAACATTAAAAATCTGAGATGAAATAGACTCTGAATGAACAAATAGTGAAATCAGAGTATTTGAAAACCTTATATGCCATTCTTAAATACAGAGTAAAAATGCCCTGCTACTGATTGTTATATTAGTACATCTTACAGTTACCCAGTACAGTTTTATGGCCTGATTTACAAACCTACTTAGCATCTGTAACCCCAGTCCACTTTAATGGAATCTGAGGGTGCTCAATACTTCTGAAAATCAGGCCTTTAACTTGTTCTATTAAATAGAAAGAAAAGAAAGAAAAATGTCTAAACAGCCACTGCACTATAAATTAAATCAAATTGTCCAATTGATTCTCTCTGTTAGCTAGTTTTATACCTATATGCCATATGACATTAGCCAATTGTGAGTGAGAGATCACTGGACTTTAAATGAATCTGTCAGCATAACTTTACCATTCTTTGACTGTGATAATTTGAATATTGGGAGGAAAAACTTAGTTTTCCTGATAAAGTTCAATAACTAAACTGAAGATAAGAAAGTCTACAGGGTATCTTTATCTCATGCCACTTTTGAATAGGGTGAGCAGACGTCCCGTTTTTAAAGAGAAGTCCCGTATTTAAGCCATCCTGCAGGTGTCCCAACTTTTTCTTAAAAACTGGCAAATTGTCCTGTATTTTCTGTCTGCCCCACCCCCCATCAGTACTGGCAGGTCCTACTGCTGGCTGGATCCCGGCTCACCAGCCGCCTGCCCACCAATTGTGAGTGGGGGTGGGGGGTCCAGTGGCTGACAACGGGGGTGGGTGTGCAAGGCTGGTGGCGGGGCTGGCCACTCCCCCTGCTGGTCCATCAGCGCAGCCCACGCTGTGCGCCAGCTCTCAGCCAGCAGGGCCCCCTCCCCTGTTTCATTTCCAGCCGGCACTGGCTGTGCGCTGTGGTGCCCAGTGCATGCAGGCAGGCGCCAGGCAGCAGCCAGTAACATGTCACCTCTGCTGCCTACCCATCGGCCCTTTATGTGCTCCCCCTCTCGCAGTCCTCTTCCTGCATTGCCCCTTCACACACCCCCAGTCCCACTGCTCCTCCAGATGCCCCCAGCAGGGCATGTCCTACTCCCAGCGCTGTGCTGAGAACCAGCCCCTGGTCTGAGCGCTCAGCCCACCAGCAGCCTGGCTGGCAGGCTCCTTCCTTCCCCCGCTGCCTCTGGCTGGGCCGGCACTCCGGGAAAGCCCAAGACCCACTGGCCCGGGGCGCTGGCCAGGAGGAGCCAAGCCCGGCATGTGTCAAACCCCCTGCACAGCGCTGGCACAGGGAAGCCTCTCCGCCCCTCAGCTAAGCTCTGGAGTGTGTAGGGGGAAGTGATTGCCAGTGTGTTCGTGCCCCAACCCTGCAGGCACCACAGCAGCCCCCTGGGTAGAAGCTTAGCACCCTCTTCACCCGCCCCGCTCCACCTCCGCCCTGGGTCCTCCCCACTGGGAGAGCAGGGCTGCTCCGTCCCCTAGACACTCTCCCCTGCTGAGCCACCTCTCTGGCTGGGTTCCCTGAAGCCCCTGCAGTCAGGTTCCCTGGGCCCTGGTGCACAATGGCTCCTCAGGGCTTAACCCTTTCCTGCCTGTGCTGTAGCCAGGGGACAGGAGGCATCTGAGTTATGTCAGTGGCCAGCAGTAGCCTGGAGGTTTGAGCTGCCTTTCCAGGCAGGATGGCTCCAGCAAAGAAAGGTGGAGAAAAGAAGAAAGGGAGATCTGCCATCAATGAGGTGGTGACTAGGGAATATATCATCAACATTCACAAACGGATCCATGGAGTGGGATTCAAGAAACGTGCCCCCCGTGCTCTCAAGGAGATCCGTACATTTGCAGTGAAGGAGATGCATACGCCTGATGTACGTATTGACACCAGATTGAACAAAGCAGTCTGGGCCAATGTTCCCTACCGGATCCATGTACGTTTATCCAGAAAACGCAATGAGGATGAAGATTCACCCAACAAACTATACATGCTGGGTACCTATGTACCAGTCACCACTTTCAAAAGTCTACAGACAGTCAATGTGGATGAAAACTAAACTGATTTACAATAGAAAAAAGTTACAAAAGTGATACTTAAAAACACACACACAAAAACTCCACTGTGCAGGCAGGAAGGGACAAGCTGCTTCCAGACAGGGGAGTGGAGTGAGGGGGGAGAGATGAGCTCTGCAAAGACACAGGCCAGGTCATTCCTAACCCTCCCCCTCCTCCTCCTGCCCTCTGGCTGGAAGAAGCTCCCATCCCTTGCCTCCCATACAGTGCTGAAAGGATGCTGCTGGAACCATTCTGGTGTGAACCCTGGCAGAAATCTGGGGCAAGGGACCATGTGACCCTGCATCCCCCGCCCCACGTGTTGCCTTGGAAAGCCTGCAGTGCAAGGTACCAGGAGAGGCAGGTCCGTCCCATGGGCCCAGCCAGGCATGGAGGGAGGAAAGCGCTGGGCAGGGAGGGTTGGGCCGGTCACCCCTCCCTGTGTGAGAGAGGTGTACAGGAATGTGTGTGTGTGTGTGTGTGTGTGTGTGTGTGTGTTCCCCTCTCCTCATGTGAGCCCTAAAGCCTTAAAAGATAAGAAGGTAAATAAAAAAAATCCAACTACTCGTATTTCTTTTTAACAGGGGCTCAGTCAACTTGATCTTAATTTGAACATTTGTACTACATAGTTCTGATTGCCATTGAACTCGCTTGAATACGAGTAATTTTACCAGGTGTCCCATATTCAGCATAGGGAAATATGGTCACTCTACTTTTGAATGACTACTGAGGAGGATTACCAGCTCTCACCTGTGCTTCGGGATGCACAGGAACCTTCCTCATAGAATTATCTTCAAGCCACAGCACTACAATGCCTCCCACATGAAGGCTGGCTGCACTGAATCAGATATTTTTGGCATACATAGATAACAGAAAGCCTGCTTCAAGGAAGACTGAATATAAGACTTCAAATTCAGTAGCCTCCAGATGTTAATAAAGGAACTTCAGTTCCTTCTAAATCCTATTTGATATGGATTGATTTAAATTTGGCATTCATTTTTCAAGCTTCAGGGCCAAGACCTTTGCTATAACTGTACAGATGAGATTAATAAATGAAAGTGTATGGTGGAATGCAGGGAGGAAGGGGTATGTACCCCTTTTTATCAATCAGTATGATATCAGCATGACAGAATGCACTTCTATGTCCTCTCTCAAAGGAGCTATTCTAGACTTCTAGTAATAAATGTCTCACATGATGCGTAAAGGTTATTTTTGGTAGGACCAATAAAAATGTGGTTCTGGACCCTGATATATGATCTCAAATCATATAATATACAGTTAAGATTAGAGACGGAAAAGACCTGTTAGATCATTAACTATAGTCTGTAGCTTTGCTAATATGGGATTGCTCTCTACAATCTATCATCTAGTCCCTTCTTCAATTTATTTTTTAAAGTCCCAAGTGATGGAGCTTCCACCATCTCCTTGGCTGGCTACTCCATAATCTAACAGATCTCACTCTCAGGAAACATTTCCTAGCATCTAATCGAAACTAAATTTAATCCCATTACTATTATGTTTACCCCCTTCTGTCCTCTAAATAATCTCGATCTTATTTCCCCATCCACTATCACCTTTATTTGCCTTCTGAGGGTTCGTAGGTTTCATCTTCCCATCTGCATTTCAGAGCATCTTCTCCTCATGCCCCATTTGTTTTACCTTAGTTTTTTCCTCAAAACCTGAATCTCATTTTATTATTTTTGCCCATATTTCTACATTCTTTTGGGTTCTTTCCATTATTTCCTTGGCCTCAGTGATATTTGCAACTCCTACTAATTTAATATCATCAACTGTAAACTTCATTAACAGGCCGTAAACCTTTTCTATATCAAAAACAACAACTGGGTAATATTTTCTGTTAGTTATAGCACATGTGTATCCAGATGTTTTGATCTTTTGAGAGAGGAAGAGTACCTACATAATTTCAATTTCCCATTCAACGTTTGCTAACTCTGTTCACTTCACAATATATGTCAGTGCTCCTCTTTTAAAATGCTTATTTTACACATACTCATATAGATGCGTATACACACACAGAATGTTAAAATACATTGGGTTTTGTTGTTGGTTTTGTTGATATTATAAGCATAAAAAACCCACAACCTCAGAGTCAGCAGTTTAGTTCATTACCACACTTCCAAAGGGAAGCACTCTTCATGATCAATATAGAAATCATAGTTATTACTAGGCATTAGGAAACTCGGAGAGATTCAGAAGTTGTCAGCACTGGAATGTTTATGAACCTTGAGATGAGTCGCACAGCAGTTTAAAACTTAAAAAGCTACATTCTCCCAGCCCCGAGATCCTCTCTTCCTGAATACAAAATACTAAGTTGTGGCTGTCATAGGTCACTAAGCATTCTTTTACTTACTAGTGGATATAACCCCATGCATCTCATTGTCATTCTAGTAAGTGAAGTACACCCAAAGCTACACTTTTCTCTGGTTATTTGGGGACTGAGGTCAATGGAAAAGACTCACCAGGCCTTGGATCAGAGTGGTATAACAACAAAAAGCAGAGTGGTAACACAGAGTGGTAGGACAACAAAAAGCAATATATAGCAATTTTGTCATGTCTGAAAGCAGGGGCTAGTAAAATTTAAATCCAGAACTATTCCCCACCCCAGTTCCCCAACAAAATGGCAAGGCACACCAAATGCAATAAAACATTTTTGCTGAACGATTCAGAGTACCCTTTCTAAATGGTTACCTTAATGGTGTTCCTGTTAGCTTGCTAAAACAAAAAGCCATAGGGCTTTGCAGCATTCTGCGCTGAGCTCACAAGTTTTAAAGCAAGTGGAGGGGTTCTTATTTCCTAGGGAGGGGTCTTTCTACTGACCCCTGCAGACCAGTTTTCTTTTGGGTAGCTCTCAACATACTACTGCTGGATTTGTCCCAGGCCCATGACATTGTAGCTCAGGCTCTCAATCTTTCTGTAGTTTTAGGAATCTAATAATGAGCTCTTTAACAATCCCCTGTTCTGAGACCGTGCTGTGATCTACTTCCCTGAAGATTCACGGAACTTCTTAAAATACCTGGCCCAGCTTCTGCTGGGCAAGGGTCACTTTATGATCTTTTAGGTCCCCAATGGGAACTGTGCAGAGGTCAGGGCTCTCAGAGCATCCAGCTTCTTTGTTGGTTTTGAGATGCTCTGATCACTTATGGGATGGGAACCTATGAGGGCACATGGTTTACACAGCCCGTGACCTGTGTGGTTTCCATTATAGACTCCAAAACTCCTTAGCTAATGAGCTATTGTTCTATTTTATAGGAGTATATATATTCACTCTGCTTATTTGATAATATTCCCTTCCAGAAACGCTACTAAGCCTCAAGGGTCTATCTTGAATCTTTAGCCTGCCAGGAAGCCTTGTAATCTAAATTATACCAATTCCTACCTACTTCCCTTTTCCACTCCCTGAATTACTTTAATCCTTACCCTAGCTCACCAAACTCTAATTGCTTTATCTTCACTCTCAGCTCTTTTCATCTTCACATCCTTTTCCCACATACTCCATGCCTCTATTTTAAGATCCTACCTCACATACTCAGACAGAGAGAACAGGGAAATTAAAGCAGACTATGAGGTAACTGTTACTTATATCACCTTCCTCCCCAGTACTATCCACCAAACAACACCTCTAAACAGAACATGAATTTCATTTAGACTCCACTGAGAAATCTCTACTCCACAAAAAAGGGTTTCACATCCTGGATTTAGCACTCCTATTATAATTTCTATAGCAGTAGCACCCAGAGGCCCCAACTAGGTGAGGGCAATATTGTACTAGGTGCCAAATCTAATTAGGCAAGATGGAGAAGGTATTCTTATCCCCATTTTACAGATGGGAAACTGAGGCACAGAGATTAAACAATTTGCCTCGGACCAAGGGAACTGAAGCCAGATCTCCCGAGTCCAAATCCAGTGCCGTAACCACAAGACCCACCCGCCAGTCCATGTTTGCTTGCTATTGCTTTTATTGGCATTTATTTCATCTCTCTTACTGTAAAGTTTTTGAAATGTTGAAAATAAAAATTGTGATTTGCTTGCATACAAGTAGGGGAGGTACTAGACAAACATGCAGCTGAGTGAGACGCAGCGAGTCACTGCCCATGCTTTAATGAGATTCAGTAAAAACATCCTGAAAGGAATAGGAAATACAGATGTGAACTTCACGAAGTCAGAGATCAGACCCCAAAAGAAGCTTTTGTAACTACTTAATATAATTATATAATTATAATTCATGAGCCGAGACTTGCCAGGATCCACCAGTTTTAAGTAACAAAGAGATGTCATGTGACTATTAGCAGCCGAGGATCTTCATTTTCCAGCATAATCTTACCTAGTCCATGGAAGAGCATCAAATATAATCCCTGGAGATTAGAGAAAACATTTAACTGTTAATGACTGAAAGGAAAGACCTGGATATTTGGAAATGCGTCCAGTGGATTCACCTTCTGATGTAGAAGAAGAGCAAATAACTTTTTTCAAAATATAAAACAATGAAATAATTGAAATTACAGGAAATAAAATGCTCTCAAGTGCTAACCTAAGTACCGGGGAAATGGTTGTCACTGTAAAATGACACCACCAGGAGAAGGCTGACTGTGGACAAAGATTATAAAGTACTATATATAAAGTGAAGAGTACTATATATGGACTGGATTCTGCCATCCTTAAGGCTTTACTCCATGAGTAACCCCAATGAGATCAACAGGACTACTCGCAGAGTAAGACACTGTTCATTGTGATCAGAGGTGGCATGACTACTACAGTACTAGCATTGTTGTTCCATACATAGATATTCTGCAGATAAATGTGCTGCAGAAGCTATAGCTGTGGTTCTTAAAATTTTCAATACCATGAATAACTCCTAATGCACCAACCCCACTTCTAAACTGCCAAACCCAATTCTACACATCACCTCTGTCAACTACTGTGTTCATTTATATGAAAAATATTAGGAAAGCATTAAGGAGGCATGAATACACAGACATTTGAAAACAGCAA